TTACCGTGCTCACGGGCGTCAAGACGTACGTGTACACATGCGGAAATCTTTTAAAATGCTCAAAATTATTCTTTTAAAAAAAAACTAATTACAGCATATTTTAGCATATTATGACACTTTTCAATCAGGGTCAAATGTGCGGCGGATCACCTAACTCGTCCTCAGTGACGAGTTCAAATCTAGTTGAATTTAATGTTATATTACTTATATAAATTTTTTATGTATCAATTTTCATGTATCAATCCTGATATGGGCGACACTGGTCGCTGTTGGATGATGTTGAAATAAATAAAAAAATAAAAAACAATGCCAAGAGTCAGGTCAGGATTAATGGTTCATTTAGTAATGAATTCTCTGATGGGGTTGGCGTCCATCAAGGATCCGTCTTAAGTCCCACCCTTTTCATCTTTGTCCTTAAGGCAATTTTATCAGAAATCAGGACTGGTTGCCCATGGGAATTGCTCTATGCTGATGATCTTGTCCTGATTGCAGAAGATATTGAAGAACTCAGTAGGAAATTTAAGTTGTGGAAAGAAGGCTTTTTTGAGTAGAAGGGACGGAGAGTCAACATGAAGAAGAGAAAAGTCATGGTGTAGCCATTCCCTTTACCACAATACCTGTTGCAGCAATAGCTCAGAAAGGTTTGAGGAACCACACTTTGCACTGACCTTAACTGACAAACAGACTCAATATCATGGATTAGGTAACAACATAATTGCAAAAAATAAGATAGGCATGTACAATTATATGGTACCAATTTAACATTACCTGTACAATAACTTGTAAAAAGTTCCCCTCTCAAATAAGCACACAATGAAGACACCCCCCCCCCCTCTCCATCTTTACTGAATTTTAATTCTTTACAATGGGCCTTAACTGACAAACAAACTCAATATCAAAAGAGAGAGCAGCATTAGTAATTAGTTTTTCAGTACGTTGTCAATAAATCACATAGCCATACCTATGGTATGGTATAGTATAGCTGACCTCGCATGGGCAATAAATTACAGAAGCTATGATTATAATCCAATTAAAGAGCAATTACCAGAGATAGACCTAATGTCTCAAAATCATTAAAATTGGTAAAGGGTAGAAACACCTCATGCATGAAAGTGACTCTAAGAATGAAGTCTGGACGGTTCCCTTGTCCCGTATGCTACAAGGGTGTTAAAATAAACTTTATCTTTTGTGGCCATTGCAAGTTATGGATGCACAAAAAATGTAGTGGGTTAAGGGCAGCCTTAAAAATAATGAACATTTCAAGTGCAAGAAATGTAAGGAAAAAGAAGAACCTGGTAGAGAAATTTGGATGAATACTGCAAAGCGCATTAAGGTCGGTGAAGATGAACTTGAGATTGTTGATAGGTTCTGCAACTTGGGCGACATGGTTAGCTCCAGCGGTGGTGCTGATTTAAGTGTAACTCTTCGGATCAGGTGTGGTTGGAAGAAGTTTAGAGAACTTCTGCCACGGTGTACGGTAAGAATGGCCCCGGAAAAAATGGCCCCGGAAAAAATGGCCCTGGAAAAAATGGCCCTGGTAAAAATGGCCCCATACGACATGTAGGTAAAAATGGCCCCAATAATCAAATTCTGTGTTAAAACTGATTTTCTTGAGTCAATATATGCATTTTTGTATCTTAAATAATTTAGTTTTTAAAAGGAATCTAACATCAAACAAATTGCCATTTACATTTTACTTTTTGCAAGAATTAATATTCAATGATAAAATATTCAAAGATAAATAAAAAGCCATGAATTACACTTTTCATTTATTTTTTTACATTTAAATGTTAAAAAATAGCAACAACAAAATCAATAAGTCAACATAAATCATGCATTTATTAATACTAAAATAATTTACTTGTGGCCGATTTCACGGTAGAGGAATCACAATTTTCCAGAAATTCAATCTGTGTATTGGTAAACCCCACAAACAGTGGGTTAGTAT